GGCTGCGGCCTGCAGGGACTGGCATCCCTAGGTAGGAATGGTGGGATTGTGGGTCACTGGGGTGGAGAGGGGCACTGGGGTCATGGGTCAGTAGGTACTGCTGCCATCATTGGTCACTGGTCTGGGGCCCTGGGGTCATCAACACACCCTGTGCCCTGTGCCCAGCCTGTCATCAGCCCAGAACTTGAGATCATGGGTCACTGGAGTGGGAAGGGGCTCTGGGGGCATCAACACACCCTGTGCCCCATGCCCAGCCTGTCCCCACACCAGCACTTGGGATCATGGGTCACACAGTGGGTCACTGGGCTTGGGGAGGATCCAATGGTCACCAACCCACCCTGTGCCCAATGTCCACCTTGCCCCAGCCCAGCACTTAGGATCATGGGTCACACAATGGGTCACTGGGCTTGGGAAAGGTCTTTGGGATTGCCAAATCCACCCTGTGCCCAATGCCCACCCTGTCACCAGCCTAGGGCACCTCCAGGCATTCCCTGGGCACCTCCAGGGGTGGGGACTCCAAACCTCCCCGGGCACCACCCCCTCCTGCTCTGAACGGACAAAGACAGGGCAGGGAGGTGCTCCTGGGGTCCCTGTGCAGAAGGTCACCCACCCTCATCTCCATGGGTTCTCCTGGTGCCCCCAGTCCCTGTCTCTGGGCTGTCCTTGTCCCCTCCCCGTGGTGCTGATGATGGCTGTGTGTGTCCCCCAGCCCGGAACTGCATGAGGCTGCAGGTGCTGGAGCTGGACCACGTGGCCGAGATCAACCAGGAGGTGGCAGCTGAGGTGTGCCGGGAGGGGCTCAAGGGGCTGGAGATGCTGGTACTCACCTCCACGCCGGTGACCCCCAAGGCCCTGCTGCACTTCAACAGTGAGTAGCACTGCCAGGGCATGGCCTGGCACCAGATCCACCCACGGCAGCTGTTGGCACTGGGACCTGCTGGGAGCTCTCTGGGTATCTGGCATCCCCCACCAGGGATGGGCCAGGGAGAGCTGATCTTGCCTTGGGCCACAGGGAGGATGGAGATGCTCCCTCCATGGCCCCAGGGCAACCAATCCTCGATGTTTGTGACACACCTGAGGCTTGTGACACACCTGAAGGCATTGGCCAGGCCAGGAGGTGCAGAGCCCCAGGAGGGCCTGTCCTGGTGGTCACAGCTTGGGTGGCCATGGCTGGGATCCCTGTGGGTGGCAGAGGCAGGGATGCCCAGGGGAGTGGGAGGACACCAGTTTGGGATGGTGTGGTGGTGTGAGGTCCTCAGGATGAGGTGAGAGATGAGAATTTGACTCCATGTTCTCAGAAGGCTGATTTATTATGATATGATATGCTATGGTATATATAATGTTATATCTTCATATATATGATTATATTAATTATATTATATTATATTATATTACATTATATTATATTTACAAAAACTATACTAAAGAAATAGAAAGGATACATCAGAAGGCTAGAAATAATAATGAATAGAATGAATAATAATAACCCATGACTGATCAGAGTCCCACACAGCTGGACTGCGATTGGTCATTAATTAAAAACAATTTGCATGGAGCCAATCAAAGATGCACCTGTTGGTGAGCAACCTCTAGAGCACATTCCAAGCAATCACATAATTTTTGTTTGCATTTATTTTCTGAGGCCTCTCAGCTTCTCGGGAGAAAAATCCTGCGCAAAGAAGATTTTTCAAAAAATATCACAGTGACAGGGCAGGGCAGCCAGGGCCATCTCACAGCCCATGGTCCCCCTGCCCTGACCCTGGCCAGGCCTCCTCCATCCTCAGGGAGAGTAGTCCCCACACACAGGGGGGGATTCTGGTGTCCCTGCTGGCCCAGGTGAGGAGATCCAGATGCTGTCTGTGTCCCCAGGTGTGTGCAGGAACCTGAAATCCATCGTGGTGCAGGTGGGCATTGTGGACTACTTCAAGGAGCCCCACAGCCCTGAGGCCAGGAAGATGTTTGAGGAGATGGTGAACAAACTGCAGGTAAAGGAGCCCAGTCCCAGCTCTCAGGGTGGCACCAGCCCTGTGTCCTGCCCAAGGCAGGGGCAGAAATGTCTCTCCTCTCCCTCCCTCCCCTCTTTCCTTCCCAAGGCAGGGATTCCCTTCTTTCTCCCTCACCCCATACCCTTCCCAAGGCAGGGATTTGAGGTGTTCCTCTCTCTCCTTCCCTTGTTCTGTGTCCTTCCCATGGCAGGGATTCTTCTGTTCTTCCCTTGCCCCTTTCTTCCCCATGGAAATATTGGAGAATTGGCAAATTCATGGAGAATTTGGGGCATTCTCCCTTTTCCCTCCTCACCCCATGGCAGGATTTGGGGCATTCGCCTCACCCCTTGGCAGGATTTGGGGTGTTCCCCTGTCCCTTCCTCACCCCATGTCAGGATTTGGGGTGTTCCTCTTTCCTCCCTCACCCCATGGCAGGATTTGAGGTGCTCCTTTCCCCTCCCTCATCCCATGGAAGGATTTGGGCAGGATTTGGGGTGTTCCTTTCCCCTCCCCATGGATCAGTGGCTCTGTTGGCTCCCCCCAACCCCTCTGTGTGCTCCTCCTGTTTCAGGCCCTGAGGAAAAGGCCTGGCTTCTCCAAGATCTTACACATCAAGGTGGAAGGAGGCTGTTAGCCCTTCAGGGAGCCCAAAGCACATTCCCTGCTCTGCCCAGAGCCCCGAGGGGCCGGACGGGGACCCCCGATCAGGCACCAGGAACCCCAAACTCCCGCAGCCTTTGGGGCCACCCCGGGTGACAAGGTGCTACTCAAGGACAAGTTTTGGCTGTCCCCAGAGCCAGGGCCGTGCTCTTTGCCAGGAGGAGGATGGTTTTGCAGCCCTGCAGCTGCTCCTCACCCAGGATCCATGTTTGGGGACAGCTGTTCTGCTGAACTCTGCTTTGGGGATCCCTGACCCCATTCTGGGGCTGGGCTGGCCACTGCAGCCCCGGGTGCTGGACCTGGGCTGGGAAGGGGCTGCTCCTCCCCCAGCATTGCCCAGGGTTTCTGCTCCTTTTCCTTTGGGATTTGGCACAGGGGCACCTGAACCCAGGAAATGCTCCCAGGAACCAGCAGAGCACAAGGCCAGGAGCAGAGCTGCACCTCGGGCAGCCACAGGGCACAGGAGAGATGGGTGCTCCTCCAGAGGGCTCCAGCCTCACCTCCTCTCCTCCAAACCCTCCTGCCAAGGCAATAAACCATCTCCAGATCCTCATCCACCAGGAAACAAGGGTCACACTCCTGTCCCCACCATCCTCAGACTCCATCTGGGGTCAGGGTCCCATGTGGAGAGAGAGACTGTCACAGGACACCCACGTTTGCCTTCCCAAGCAGCCTGAAGGAGAAACCCTGGCCAGAATATCCTGAAATGACCCTGGGAAAAGCACCAACCAACAGCCCTGGCTGACCCTTAGCTACAGCCGCCATTTTCTAAATCTGATTTTTCTTCTGAGCGCCCTCAGCCTGCAAGGACATCATCATCATCCCCAGAACATCCTTTTTCCATGGGAAAAGGCTTTGGAAAGGCATCCAGCAGGGTCAGGCATCTCCATCCTCCACCTGAGGAGAAGGTTCCAGGAGGTGGCCCTGGGGCTGGGGACACCACCAGAGCACTGCCAGCAGTGGGGACAGCCCAGCCTTACCCACAGCCCCAGCCCCTGTCCTTGGGCTGAGCAGAGAGGAAGAGACTGGGACAGTGGATCTGGGCTTTTCCCTCTTCTCTGGACCAGCCCTGGAGGTTTTGGTGCCTGCTGGCCAGCGTGGCTGGGAGGGGACACTCCCAGAGCCTGTCCCCTGCCCAGCCCTCACGTGGAGCATCCCCCAGGAGGGACTGGCTGCTGATCCAGCACCACATCCCTCAGCCATGGCACAAGAGCTGCTGACCTCAGCTGGGGCTGCCACACAGCCCGTGGGGATCCCCAGAGCAAGGAGGATCACCCCAAATCACCGAGGCTGGTGGGGCTGGAGGCAGCTCGAGAGCTTTCAGCTTCCCCCCATCCCACCTGTGCTCTCTGCTCTGAAGCAGGGTGCGGTTTTGTGGCCACAGCCCCGTGGGAATCAGCCCTGCTCCCCCTCCCATGCAGCTTTCCAGGAGAAGGCTGTTCCTGAATGCACAAAATGTGGGAGCCCAAAAACACCTGTGAGAAGCTCCTGCACCCCCAGGTCCCACAGATGAGCTCCTGACTCCCTGCCATGCCCACCATGGGTTTACCTCCATCCTGGGGAGCCTGGCACACTCCTAACCCCCTGGGCAAGGGGTGCTCCAACCAGCAAAAACCACCCAGCAGAGCTACAACCCCCAGGGGCAGGAGCATGGCCCAGTGGAGATGGCAGCACCACAGCACAGGGACTCGTGGAATTCCCTTAAAAACAAAAACAAAACAAAGTACCTATTTATTTCTATAAAGAGAAGAAGGAAAAAAAAAAGATTTTAAAGGAAAATTATATACTCAGCATGTTTATACACTCTATGCTTAAAGACTCTCGTGGCCCAGAGGTGTGCTCAAGCCTGGAGGTGGCTGCTCTGGTGTGCCTGGAGCCTCTCCTGGCTCCTGGGCCATGGGGAAGGTGAGGATGAGGAGATGGAGAGAGGAGAGGTGTGAAGACTCTCAGAGAAACCTTCTGTGCCAGAAGAAGGGGTCAGTGGCTGCATGTGTGGTGACATTGGTGACCCTGTGACATCCCCATCCCTGCGCTGCCCACGGGGCTTTGGAGGCACAGCAGAACTCTCTCCTGGATTCCTGGTGCATCCATCCCCAGGAGCCTCTCCTGGATCCTTTGTGCATCCCCAGGAGCCTCTCCTGGATTCCTGATGCATCTCCAGGAGCCTCTCCTGGATCTTTTGTGCATCCCCAGGAGCCTCTCCTGGATTCCTGGTGCATCCATCCCCAGGAGCAGATCAAACCCTCACCTCTGCTCGGGGCATTCCTGAAAAACCCAGCTCAGCAAAGCCACGTTTTTACACAAATCCTCTGATGACACAAGACCTTGAGCGGGTTCAAGGATGAGAAGATGGAAAGTGGGGGTTTCTCCCTGTTTTACTTGGGCTCGAGTGGATCCCTTCCTCCTCCTCCTCCTCCTCGGCTGGGGATGAAGGCGGCTGGCACAGTGACAGGAGCGGTGGGAAGGAGGGCCCTCCTGGTGGCCCCTAATTGCCCATCTTGTTAACGAGCTCATTAACAGCACTGAAATGTCAGACGGATCCTGCCGCTGCTGCTTCCCCTGCCCTGTCCCGCAGGGTTCCCTGCGGGAGGCTCTGGCCACGCTGGCCCTGGTCCTGGATTCACCCTGAATTCAGCCCTGGATTTACCCTGGATTCACCCTGGATTCACCAGAGCTTCAGCCCCATTTCCTCTGGAAGTGATTGGAAACACCCAGAAATGCCGAATTTCCTGGGAAAGCCTTCAAGGCACACAGCACGTTCAGCTCAGCCCCTGAGAAGTACCAGGGGGGCTCTGCGATGACAATCCCAGTGAAATCCAGGGATCTGGGGACAGTATTGGGGGCACAGCCATGGTCAGAGCTGGCAGGGGCTGGATGGACTGTGGTTCTGAGCCTGGCTCCTGCTGGACCAGTTCTGGGGAGATTTATTCCTTTTCTAATGGTTTTCCCAAAGTTTCCCCATGGCTGACATTGCCAGCATTCCCCTTCCCCTGAGTTTGAGTGCTGGTCAGGGATTTCAGGAGGAACAACATCACCAAAGGCAGCTCGGGGACCAAAGCCACCCCAAATCCCTGGGTTTGTGTCCCCCTGGGTTGGATTTCACTCGTTCCCATCACTCCCAGCCCCAGGGATGCTCTGGGGACCAGTGCCCTCCCCTGCCTTGTCCCTGTGCCTTGGGGCTCCAGGGTGTCAGGGACAGGGTAAAAGGGACTCCCAGGCTGGCTCTCCCCCACCACGGTTTTAAACCTCTCTGTCCCTGTTCCTGCCGTGTGTCCTGCTGCCACCAAGGGCATGGCCACAGCAGGGGCTGGTCTGGATCCCCCAGAAGAGCCTGGATTTAGGGAAAACAGAACAAAAACAAAACAGGAGAAGTGTTGGTAATGGCTCCTGAAGTGGTTAATAGATGTTTTCTTTCAGCTTTTAGGGGAGGCCCCAGCCCAGGAGCTGGAGCACTGCTTCAGCCTCATTTTGGGGTGAGAAACAGCAGGTTGGGGTGGAGCAAAAGCATTTGGGAATTGGTGCCAAATGAGGAAGTGCTTTAAAAGGGAAAAAATCCCAGGGAGCAGGGAGATGCTGGGAAGCAGAGATGGTTTGTTGTGAAGCATTACAGGGTATTGTGAGGCGGTGATGGACCTTCCCCAATCAGTGGGAGGCAAAATAATCCCTGGGGAGGGTGGGAGAGCACTGAGGGAAAGCTGCTGCAGCAGCAAGGAGGGAAAACTGCCCAAAAGCAAGGAAAAAAAAGGGATTTTCTAATGCAGCCTCGGGATTGAGCCTGTGGAGGCCAAAGAGGCAGGTTGGGGCCGGGGACAAGTGGGTGCAATGGTGTGGGGCAGTTTGTGGGAAGCGAGGGGGTGATGCACAGTTGCTTCGAGATAATCAGAGGAGATAATCAGTGCAGAGAACAGAGCTATAGAAATCAGGAACTGGAATCATTCCCTACAGCCCTGGACGGCAGCGGTGTACAGCGACCTCCCCTCCCCAGAGCTTCCCCTGCCCTCCCTCCCAAGTTATTTTTTTAACTCTCTATAAATTTAGGTCTATTTTAGTCTTTCTGCAGCGATGTGCCAGTGTCTGGAGAACCAAACATCCCTTGCTGCCCCCACCCCGTGGTCCCTGGATGCTAACCCGGGTGTGGTGGGAGCTGTGCCAGGGCAGGGCAGGGCTGGGCAGCAGGGCCAGCTCCGGCCGGCAGCCCGCGGGTTTAGCACTTTGGTTGGAACTCTCACCTGTAGACGCACTTTGATGTTGTTGCTTTGAAACTTTGGCAAGTGTAAACAATGTGTATTTAAAGAATTACAGAGAAACGACCCCCAGCCAAGCGTGTAAAGAGCTATTTTATGACTCGGTGTTGAATAAAGACTCTGGAGATCGAGCTGGGTTTTCACTCTCCTGGGGCTCACGCTGGACCCACACCAGTGACACCAGCTGCAGTTTGGAGCCTACTAGAAATGTCCTCCTGACTCTCTGCAGGTCCATGGGCTGCACTGGTCTGGCATCACAGGGCACGGGGACAAAGTGGGGTAGCACAGGGGGAGCACCAAGGGGGGAAGCCCTGGCACAGGGTGCCCAGAGCAGCTGTGGCTGCCCCTCGGTTCCTCAAGTGTCCAAGGGCAGGCTGGGCATCGGGGCTTGGAGCACCCTGGGACAGTAGGAAGTGTCCCTGGATGATCTTCATGGTCTCTTCTAGCCCAAGCCAGCCCATGATTTTGTATTCCTTTCACTGTCCTCCTTTAACACCTGTAACCCACCAGACCCAAGTCTCCCAATGTTCTCCCAGCATTTTCTCTCTGAATCCCCCCCAAATGCCTGAATCCATCCTTGGAGCCCCTTGGAGCTGTCACACAGCTGCTGCCCTGAACCTCCTTCCATGAAGCAAAGTGGAAAATGGAAATGCCTCATTGAGCAGAAGCCAACTAAAATGTCACTGAGCACTATCTGAGAGCTCCAAGCACACACCGAGGTGCTCCATCCTAGAAACACTCCTGGGCTGTGCCTGGAGTGTGCCCTCTCTGCAGCACAGCACCTGCTTTGAAATGGGCCAAAACCAGCCTGAAAGGTTCATTTCTAACCCTAGCCCTGAGGCCTCCCCATGTGGAATGAAGCAGAGAAGAGGCCAAGACCAAGTGCCACTGAGACCAACTCATTTTATTGTGGTGGAGCCTGGCTTCAAACTGCCCAGCAGAACAAAACACAAACCAGTATAAATAGGCCCCAGAGCCTGCCTGTGCTGGCTCCAGCCCGGGGGAGGGAATGCTCCTGAGGAGGGAAGGGTCCCCAGGGAGTGAAGGGTCCTCAGGAGAGAAGGAGCCTGGGGAAGGAAAGGTCCTGAGGAGGGAAGGCTCCCGAGGGAATGCCCAGGCCAGTGAGGCAGCGCCAGGCAGGGCAGCTCCAGGGCTGCAGCTGCCTGTGACCGCCCCCAGCCCAGGGCTGGCAGCTCTCTGCAGGGGCAGGAGCAGCCATCGATCCCCGCACGTTTCCAGGAGCTCTCAGTGGCTGTGGGGCTGGCAGCTCTCTGCAGGGGCAGAGCAGCTGCTGATCCCCGTGGGTTTCCAGCTCTCAGTGGCTGTGGGGCTGTCACCCTTGGCCAGGGAAGAAGCAGCTGCTCAGTGCCCATGGGGCTGCCAGCCCTGGACAGGGAAGGAGCAGCTGCTCATCCCAGTGGGTTTCTAGGGGCCCTCAGTGGCTGTGGGGCTGCCAGCCCTTGGCCAGGGCAGGAGCAGCTGTCGATCCCCACAGGTTTCCAGGAGCTCTCAGCAGGAGAAGGAGCAGCTGCTGGTTCCCCCAGGTTTCCAGGAGCTCTCAGTGGTTGTGGGGCCGGGCGCGGGCACGGCCACGGGCACCAGCAGGCCCAGCAGGCTCCACGCTGGAGCGCGGGTTGCGGATGGTCTCGTCCACGGACACGATGAGGCACGCGGCCTCCGAGGCGGCCGTCAGAGCATTGATGCGCACCACGGCCGGCTCCCACACGCACGCCTGGAAATTGTCAGCGATGTCCTCGTTGGTCACGTCCACGCCGTACCACATCCCGCCCTGGGGACAGAGGGACAGGTCAGTGCCACAGCCTGCTCTGGGGGACAGGATCAGTGCCACATCCCGCCCTGGGGACAGACAGACAGAGGGACAGGTCAGTGACAAAGGCTGCTCTGAGGGACACAAGGACGGGGATCAGTGCCACATCCCTCTCTGAGGGACAGGGATCAGTGCCACATCCTGGCCTGAGGGAAGAGGGACAGATCAGTAGCACAGCCTGCTCTGGGGACAGAGGGACAGAGATCAGTGCCACATCCTGCTCTGAGAGACAGAGGGACAGGGATCGGTGCCAGATTCCACTCTGAGGGACAGCGATCAGTGCCATATCCTGCTGAGGGACAGAGGGAACAGGGATCAGTGCCATATCCTGCCCTGAGGGACAGAGACCCATCCCACTCTGAGAGGGCAGCGGGGACAGAGGGGACAGAGGGGACAGGGACTGGTCATGGGGCTGGGTGGGACTTGGGCCAGGCAAAGGTGAAGGGAGAGGCTGGAGCCTCCCTCATGTTTCCACTGTGAGGAAAACACAAGAAATCCAAGCTGATCAGTCTTTGCTTTCAGCCACCAGTGCCAGCAGTGCCTCATGAAGAGGAGGCTCCTTCCAGTTTGGGATCACAGAGTCACCAAGGCTGGAAAAGCCCCCCCAAACCATCCAGTCCCAGCTGTGCCCCGTCCTCACCCTGTCCCCAGCCCAGAGCCCTGAGTGCCACCTCCAGCCCTTCCCTGGACACCTCCAGGGATGGGGACTCCAAACCTCCCTGGGCAGCCCTGCCATGAAGCTGCAGGAGCCTCCCAGGCCCGACTCCCCTCTGCTGCTGCCTCACTGCCTGGTTCTGCACCCTCATTTTGGGGCACCCTCCAAGCCCCACCCCAGCAGCAGGGTGAAACTGCTGGGAGTGACAGAACCCAAGGGACAACCTCCAAGCCCTGGAGCTGGGATCTCCACAAGATCTTCAGCCTGCAGCTCCTGTGTAAAATGCTCAGCTCAGCCAGCTCCTGCACTCTGCTTCCTTAAATGTTTAACACAGCAGCTCCTTCCTGACAAGTGATGAGTTTTCAAGGAGCAAATCAGAACTCCCAGCTCAGGAAGTCACCTGACAGCTGGGATCAAAGGGAAATCAGCTCCTTTCCATTTATAGCCACCTGTGCCAGGCCCACACCTGATGTGAAACAAACACGATGCTTAATCAAAGGGGACACGGCTCCAACACAGGCTCAGCTGAGCTACACCAGCTCTGACAGGCTCCAGGAGGGAACTGGGGACAAAGGAACCACACACACACACTGAGATGCCAGGGTGTCTGAGGCTGAAAGATGCAGCTGGTGTGTATTCTATTGCCACCTGTCAGAGGCGGGGCAGGTATCTGCTGCTCACTGGGCAATTTCCTTTATCTATTCCACAACCAACCCTCCCTCCGGGAAATAACGTCTGTTAATGGGCCATTAATTATTAATTATCTTCTGTTCATGGCCAGTGAGCGTCCCTGCAGGGCTGATCAAATTCCACCATCCCATGGGGAGATGCTCCGCCCAGGGGAGGAGCCAAGCATTCCTACCTGGATCCAATCTGAGGTTTGGGATACCCCAGCAGCCTTTGCCCACTGCATTGTCAGAGGAGCAGCTTTCTGCTGCCCTGCATTGCCAGAGGGAGCCCAGGCCCATCTGCAGCAGCCCTGGAGCTGCAGAGGAAAACTCCCCCGTTGTGCAGGATCCCTGCTGCAGCAGAGCCACAGCTGGCACTGCAGGAGGGCTGAGCCCCCATGGGATGGGGCTGGGGCACCACCCTGACACACAGGGAGCAGGTCCATTCCTGACTCTGTCAGGGTTGTTTGGTACTACTGCATTTGCATCTTTAATTTTCCTAGCAAAGAACTGTTATTCCTATTGCCATATCTTCGCCTGAGAACCACATAATTTTAAAATTATAATAATTTAGAGGGAGAGGGTTTCCATTTTCCATTCAGGGGCGGCCCCTGCCGTCCCCAGCAGCCACCTGTCTGTACAGGCAGGCCCCAGCCGTACCTGGGCGTGCTTGGCGCGCAGCTTGTTGAGGATGTTGGTGGCGTCGAAGCCGGCGTTGTCGCACAGCTGCCGGGGGATGATCTCCAGGGCCTTGGCGTAGGCGCCGATCAGCAGTTGCTGCTTGCCCGGGATGGTGCGCGAGTAATCCCGCAGGAACTTGGAGAGCTCCATCTCGATGGCGCCGCCGCCCGCCACCACCGAGTCGTTCTGCAGGGAGGGACAGGCACAGCACAGGGCTCTGTCAGGGCTCTGCACAGCCCTGCAGGCTCCTGGCAATGCACAGCTCATGGCAGTGCACAGCCCTTCCAGCTCAGAGCAATCCACAGCCCTGCAGGCTCCCAGCAACACACAGCCCTGCATGCTCCTGGCAATGCACAGCCCTGCTAGCCCACAGCAACGCACAGTCCTGCCAGCCTATGGCAATGCACAGCCCTGTCAGCCCATGGCAATGCACAGCCCTGGCAGCTCCTAGCAAGGCACAGCCCTGCAGGCTCAGAGCAATGCACAGTCCTGCAGGCTCCCAGCAATGCACAGCCCATGGCAATGCACAGCCCTGCAGGCATGGCAATCCACAGTTCCGCCAGCCCATGGCAACCCACAGCCCTGCCAGCCCCAGCCCTGCCAGCCCACAGCAATCCATAGCTCTGACTGCCCATGGCAATGCACAGCCCTGCCAGCCCACAGCCCTGGTGCTGCTGTCCAGCACTGTGTGACTGTGTGACTGTGTGCCAGCAGCAGCAGGGACACACCAAGAACCTCCAGTGGCAGGTGCAGCAGCTCAGCCCAGCTGTGCACAGGACAAAGGGAGGTTTGGGGACACTACCCTCAAAGGGAGGGATGGCAGCTCACTCCCAACTCCCAACCTCACTTGCATTAAGTGTCCAAAACTAAAGCTATTGGCAGCAGCACCTTGCAGTTCAGTTCTGCTGTTTTTACAAGAGAAAGATCAGGACGTTCTTTCTAAAAGCAACAGCTCCAAAACTCCTGACATGCTTCTCCCCAGCCCCTCAGGACATGCAGCCTCAGAGCTGCTTTTAACCAGAAACCCTTCCTACAGCAACACATTTTTTGTGTAACCCAGAAATATCCACAGCTTGGCAGTGTCACCCTCAGACATCCAGAGAGGCCTTGGACTTCTCTTGGTGTCCCCAGCCTGCCCTCAGAGCCATGGGACTGTCATGCTCTCAGACTGAGCACCAAGAGAGGGGCAAGTGAGTCTATGGGCATGGACACGCATGTTCCATCAATCTGCTGTTCCAGCTCCTGAAGCTCCACCCAGTGCAGCCAGAAGCCTGCTCCCTTTAAGGTGGAGAATGGAGCAAGCAGGAGGCACAGCTGCCCAGAAGTGCAGGCAGAACCCAGGCGTGCCTGGAGAGCAGCTGCAAACACTGCCAGAGCCATGCTGAGCCAGCCAAGGAACTGCACTCCAGTGACTCCACGGGATGTGCTCCCTGTGCAGAGCCCTGAGCAAGCCCTGCTCTGTGTGTGTGAGGTGTGCAGGGAGGGCAGGGCAGGGGCCAGGCTCACCTTGATGGCCCTCCTGACAATCATGATGGCGTCGTGCAGGGAGCGCTCGGTCTCCTCCATGAACTGCTCGGCGCCCCCGCGCAGGATGATGGTGCACGTCTTGGCCTTGGGGCAGCCCGTGAAAAAGTTGTACCTGCCACAGGGAGGGTGGGCATGGAGAAGCTGCTGCATTGTGGGACAGAGCCAGCCCCGCAGCCCTGTCCCTCTCACAGCCCCAAGGGACCAAGGAGGAGCAGGGCCAGGGAACACAGAGGTGACGTTCCAGATAATCCAGGAAAATCCGTTCTCTTCCTGCTGCCAGGGGCTCACACTGAACTGGTGCTCCCAGTTTGCTCTTGGCAGGAGCACAGAGGGCAGCAGCCAGCCCCAGACAGGACTGGAAGGACCCCAGGGTACCATCCCCAGCTTCTCCTGCACTGACAGGGAAGGGTCAAGCTGGAACATCACAGAAGTGCCACAATCAACCCCAAAATGTGGTGGTTTTCCATTACAAATGTGACAGTACCACTGTGCTTTTTACAAGGCACTGCAGAATAAACATGTGTTTTTAAAAGCTTTTACAAGAGGTAGGATCTCAATGAAATCTTGCTCCTGCCCCCTCCCCCAGCTTCATAAAGCAGCTTCTGGCTACAATAAAATACACATTTTTTAGCAACCTTGTTTTCATCTCAACAGCTTGAGAGATGTTGACCCTGCCAATGCTTTGACCCCAACTTTCCACCTGCTATGAGAGGGCTTGCACAGCATCACAGGTTTGCAGCTGGTGTTTTTACCTCTCTCCCCCAATCTGGGTCTCCTCAAAGAGCTCACAGCGGCCCAGTACATCATCCGACAGGGCATTGACACTGGTCTGGATGGATCCCCCACAGGCCTGCAGGGAATGGGGACAAACGTGGAATTAGCACTGCTGACAGCCCACACCAACCTCCCAGCAGGATCCACTCTTCAGGGACAGCCCAGATGCTGAGCTGGTGCAAACCCATCCTGCAGATTCAGGAAAACCCTGCTCCCTCCTTCCCCTCTCATGGATCCAGGCCAACCCTCAAGAGCAAAATAAGTTTATGCAGCTTCAAGGTGCTGACTCACAGGCTCCAGAGTCCAGGAGATACACAAAGAAAGCTCAGGAAAAAAACCCACTCATGATGGAACAGGGAAAAACACAGGAAAATAAATCTCTACTGATGCACTGATCAGATGTTTATATGTAACACCAGGCTGCCAGAGTGTGAGTGTTCACCCCACAAGAACAGCCTTGTCCTTTCAAACCCCTGTGAGGAGCAGTGAGAGCAGTTTGGGAATGCCCAGCCTGGGGTGCCAGAACTTTCCAAAGGCTTTCCTCAGCCAGGGGAGCTCACCATCATGGTCCTCTTGAGGTCCTCCTCGGGGACACGGCCGGCACAGAACATGTCCCTGTCTGCGAAGTACTGCGTGGCCACGTCCCCAATGGCCAGCTTAGACAGCACCACCTTGGCTCCTGACTTGTGGATTTTGTCCAGTTTGTCATACAGGATGTTCCACTCTGCATCCACGATGGCCTGGTAGTCCTGGAGGAGGACAGGGGGCGGGTGTTCCAGTGCCAGGGATGCCCCACGTGCAGCCCTGGCACAGAGTCACGAGGGAGGGCCCTGTCCCATGGCACTGCCCAATGGCTGCTGCAGCCCCAGGAGCTCCTGCAGCTCTGCAGGCAAGCTGGGTCAGCTGGCCCTGCAAGGCCCAAGGCAATCACCCAGAGCTGGGGCACAGGGACAGCTCAGCAACGTGTCCTGACCCTGCTGGGCTTCCCAGCCTGCTGGACCCTGGGCAGCACAGCCCACCAGGTGTTTGCAAAGGTGAAGGATGGGCAAAGGCAAACTCATTTATCATGGAATGGTTTGGGTGGGAAGGGACCTTTGAAAAGCCATCCAGTGCCACCACCTGCCATGGGCATGGACACCTTCCACTATCCCAGGTGGCTCCAAGCCCCATCTAAACTCACCTTGGACACTCCCAGTGATGGGGCAGCCACAGCAAATCTGGGAATTCCAGCCCAGCCCCTGCCCACCCTCCCAGCCAGCAATTCCTTGCCAAGATCCCAGCCCAATCTCCCCTTTCCCAGTGGCAGCCATTCCCTGGCTCCTGTCCCTGCAGGCCTTGTCCCCAGTCCCTCTCCAGCTTTCCTGGAGCCCCTCCAGGGACTCTGAGGAGTCCCTGGAGTTTTCCCTTCTCCAGGGGAGCATTCCCAGCTCTCCAGCCTGGCTCCAGCCCTCCCATCTCACCCCTCCCAGGGGATGAGCAGCCTGAGGTGTGACAGGAGGAGGAAGCAGGCCAGGGGAGCTCTTACCTCCACAGTGTTGACTCTGACCTCAGCGTTGTCCTTCTCAGCCTTGAGCTCCAGCTCCACGTTGAGCAGGGCGATTTTGGGGGACTGGTACTTCTTGGGCTGCATCTCAAAGCCAGCATAGGAGAAGGTTTTCTTAAAGGCAACTCCAGCCACCAGCTGTGAGTCCTGGAACACAGGGATTTGCCTCAGGCTCAGCCCCCAAGGCTTCCTGCACAGGGTTAATAACAACTCCCACAGGACACTCCCTGCTTCCAGAGGCCTCATTTACAAAGCCTTCCCTGCACTGTCTCCTTTGATTAACCCACTTTTAGAGGAAATAAGCAACAAGCATTTCTTTCAGTTCACAAAAGCAGCTTCCTCTCTACCCCTCAAAACTCCACAGCCAAAAACTCCCCACACAACCTGAAGATCAATGAATGCAGCCATCAGTTCTCTCCCTGATCTCTTTCCCATTCCTCCCCTTTGAACTTTTGGATATCTCTCATCCACAGCCCCAATGGGGGCTGGTTTTTGCTCTGGTTTGTCTTTCCAAGCTCCACCATCACTTCCTGGATTTTCTGCAGCAGGACAGCCCTGGCCAACACCATTCCCAGGCATAAGCTCTTTGATTTCCTGGGTGAAGAAATCAGGATCTGAATCTCCCTCCAAACAGGGGTTATGTACAATTCCCTACCACATATCCAAGTGCAGTCCCAGACACAACAGTTTCTCCAGCACTGAAGCATAAACCACACATCCCACCTGCCCTGCCCACCACTAAATCAGCTTCATGAGGTTTGCCTTGCATTCTTCCCATCTCAGTAATCCTACATGCAACCAGGACTTTTGGATCCAGAAGTAACAAAGACTTCCCACAAAAAAAAAATTATTTGTGGAGAGATAGATGGAATTTCATCAGTTACAACTTTTGCTGCAGTGAGGTGAGGAGTGTATTTAGCTCAAAAACCAGAAACCCTACCTATGGAAAAGAAACCCTGCTGAGTTTCCTTCTCACACCAGCAGCTTTGCTCCACTTCGGGAATTCCCCAGCAGCACTGTCAAGCTAGGCTGCACTTCTGCTAGAGGCAAGGCACCACCAGAGCTGGGATCTCTGTCTCCCACCCTTTCAGGAAGGCTCCAGCACTTACTTCCAGAGCTCCTCCTTGCACCTTCTTTATCCCAATCATCTTGAGCTGCAACAAGTCATCCAACATCATCACAGCATCTACAACCATCTTGGAGAAAAACTCCTTGCTCTGGGAGATGAGCTTGGAGCTCAGGGCTGTGGCTGCACACTTCTCCAGGAGACTCCTCTGCTCACTGCAGGAACGGAAGGAAAGGAAAAACAAAGGTTTGGTCACCTGCCAGACCTTTTCACAAGCCCCAAACACCGTATGTGGCTTTGTTAATCACAGCTTTGGTTGGAAAATAACTTTAAGATCATTCAGTCCAGCACAGCCAAGGCCATCACTGCCCCATGTCCCTAAGTGCCACATCCACAGGGCTTTGAAATCCCCCAGAGATGGGGACTCCAGCCCTGCCCTTTCCATGAGGAATGTCCCAATGCCCACCCTGAGCTCTCCTGAGGCCGTTCCCTCTGCTCCTGTCCCTGTTCCCCTCCTGGCAGGAGCTGTGCAGAGCCACAAGGGCCCCCTGAGCCTCCTTTGCTCCAGGCTGAGCCCCTGCCCAGCTCCCTCAGGGATTGTGCAGCCCCTTCCCAGCTCCCTCAGGGATTCTCCAGCCCATTTCCAGCTCCCTCAGGGATTGTGCAGCCCCTTCCCAGCTCCCTCAGGGATTCTGCAGCCCCTTCCCAGCTCTGTTCCCTGCCCTGGTCACGCTCCAGCCCCTCATGGTCTGTCTTGTCATGAGGGGCCGAAAATCCTCTCTGCCAGAGGCAAAGATCAGCTCCCTCCTGTCCATGGGGAGAACGAGGCACAAATCCCAGACTGACAAATCCCAGTCTCCTAGAGCTCAAGCATCAGCCCAGCACTGACAAAGCTGACTGACTTTTATGCACCTAAAATCAGACAATAGCAGGTGCTTTCCTTCATCACAAGGCAGGAAAATGTTCCTGAAACTCTCCAAAGGCAGGGTCCACATTCCCTGAAGTACTAACTCAGGTAATACACGTGTAGCAGTAGGTGACACAGAGACACCAGGGAGATGTGGATCCAGCTGCCAGGCTCTGTTTGTCCCCCCATGGGAACCACTCTATTTCCCATCACAGGACCAGATTTGGGGTTTTTTTCCAGCATTTTTTTAGAATTTGGTTTGGATAACCCATTTTGGTTTATTCGAGATGCTTATGAAGTTGAAATACTTCCAATTAACTGCAGGTATCAGCAAGGTCAAGTGGACAAGAGCTTAAAATCCAGGGAGAAAAGGAACTCCAGTATTCTCACCTCAGCTGAAGGGATCACTGCTATGAGCTATCTGCCTTGCTGTGTGACAGCTAAAAGGGGATCTGATCCTCAGGGAATGCTGAGATTTAACACTGCCACTGACTGCAGCAAGAGCTCCAAGACTCCACAGCAGCAAAAAAGAAATCAGGCCACTTATTTTGGTGCCCAGCTTCCTCCATGAGCACTGGGAGACACTGCCCTACATCATCCCTGCAGCCAGGTGGGAGCACAGCACTGCCCCTGCAGGAGCAGGGAAATCCAGGGAAACTGGGAATAAACCCTGGTGGGGCTGCAGGTGCCAGGAGATGTCAGCCAGAGCCACAGAATGCAGGAGCACCCTCAGAGCAGTCAGAGCCCAGAGCACAACCAGGTCACCTCTAAGGAAAACTTACTCTTTATCCTCTTTCTTCACAGAGACAGCAATGTCTTTGATCTTGTTCACAGCCTGGCAAAAAGGCAACAGCTGGATTAATGATTTATGCTCCAACCTCTCTCTTTTTGTGTTTTATCTTTTGTTCTCTGCACCAACGTCACTGAAGCTCCAAGTGTTTAATTATTCCACCCCTGCCAGTACAATAATTCCAAGGAATACACCAATATCTGAGGAGGGGGAGGAGGCTCAGAGCTGCTCTGCTGCTTCTGTCTTCAGCAGAGACCCTGGGAATCAAAGGGCTATTGAGAAGTGAACCTCCAAAAATCAGCTTAATGGGACCAACAGGCTCCAGGAAACACACAGGTTACTAAGAAGCAGCAGAGAACAGGAGGAGCAGGGGAATGGGAAATGAGTTTTGACATTTATTCCTTGGGGAAAAACCCAAAGGAAGAGAGAGCACTCCAGAGGCAGGGACTGCTAACAGCAGGCCTGGCACAGCAGGGGCAGTGCTGCTGGCAGGGGGCAGCAGGACATGGCTGCTGGCACTCCCCACGCTGTCACAGACACACTTTCTGAAAAATCCTTTCCTTAGGATTTTTCCTCCTGAGAAGCTGAGAAGCCTCAGGAACAAAATGTAAACATTGATTATCTGTTGCTGTGGAATGCAACAGGTGCATCTGTGATTGGTCTCATGTGCTTGTTTCTAATTAATGGCCAATCACAGTCAGCTGGCTTGGACTCTCTGTCTGAGACACAAACCTTTGTTATCATTCTTTCTTTTTCTTAGCTAACCTTCTGATGAAATCCTTTCTTCTATTCTTTTAGTATAGTTTTAGTATAATATATATAATAATAAATCAAGCCTTCTGAAACATGGAGTCAGATCCTCATCTCTTCCCTCATCCTGGGACCCCTGTGATCGCCATCACACCCACACCCATTCCCCAGTGGGCTGTCCCTGGCAGGGTGTCCCTGGCCCTGGGGCAGGCCCTGCTGTCCCCAGGGAGCAGTGGTCCCTGTGCCTCACCAGCTGCGTGGCCGTGCGGAAGGCGCGGATGATGATCTGGGGATGGAGCCCCTCCTCCACGTAGGGCTTCACCTGCTTCAGGAACTCAGCTGCCAGCAGGGTCACAGATGTGGTGCCATCACCCACCTGCAGGGACAGGGGACACTGTGTCACCCCCACACTGTGACATCCTCATGCTGTGCCACTTCCATGCTGTGTCACTCTCACACCGTGCCACCCCCACGCCATGCCACCACCTGAGAGCAGCTGCAAAACCACTCCAGAGCTTCCAGGGAAACCAGAGCTCAGGATTTTCCCTGCTCACAGATTTGTGGCTGAATTCCTCAGTGATTCAGAGTGGTCTGGGTGGTAAGGGACCTCAAAGCCCATCCAGTGCCACCACCTGCCATGGGCAGGGACACCTTCTGCCATCCCAGGTGGCTCCAAGCCCCGTTCAACCTGCCCTGGGGCACTGCCAGGGATCCAGGGGCAGCCACAGCAAATCTGGGAATTCCAGCCCAGCCCCTGCCCACCCTCCCAGCCAGCAATTCCTTGCCAAGATCCCAGCCCAATCTCCCCTTTCCCAGTGGCAGCCATTCCCTGGCTCCTGTCCCTGCAGGCCTTGTCCCCAGTCCCTCTGCAGCACTCCTGGAGCCCCTTCAGGGACTCTGAGGACTCCCTGGATTTTTCCCTTCTCCAGGGGAGCATTCCCAGCTCTGCCAGCCTGGCTCCAGAGCAGGCAGAACAAGCCCCAGCACTCCCAGAGCAATTCCCAGAGCTGACACTGAGCCAGGGCAGCAGTGGCACTGGGGCTGCTCCCTGTTCACCCCCAGGCACAGGCAGGCTCCCCTCCCACCTCGGCATCCTGGGATTTGGCAATGTCCACCAAGGTCTTGGCGGCCGGGTGCACGACGTCCAGCAGCTTCAGGATGGTGGCCCCGTCGTTGGAGATGGTGGCTTTGCCTGGGGGTCATGGAGAAAAGGAAGTTAAAAGCAGCTTTACACCAACAGGGGCAAGCCCTGTCTCTGGGGGCTCTCAGGAGATCCCAGCAGGTTCCTCTGCTCCACCAGAACTAAGTCCTGTCAGCCCATTCGTGGAGCAGGTTCAGTGAAGTCAGTCTGAGCACAGAACAACTTTCCACACCAACAAAGGTTTGGAATTCACTTCCCTTTTCTCAAAGGCCTCCCCAGACAGATAAAACCATGTTCTAATCTGAGACTCTCATGAACAAAGAGCCTAGAAATCATATTGGTTATCATAGGAGAAATTTAAATCAAATTATCTTTTTGAACAAGGATTTATTACAGTTCCTATCTGAAAAAACTATTTAAAGACAATACTAAGCCTTTTCACTCCACCCTTCAGCAAAAAAATAATAAATAATGAGTTTGGTGACTTCATACAAGTCTTTTCAGAGTGATGGCAAAGCTCATCTCTTAAATCATTCTCCAAAAAAAAAAGATTAAAAATCAACCCAGGAACATCCACTGACCTCACACTCAGCCACAACTGCTGAGTAACTCCACAGGTATCATGAGCCTCATTTAAAAATAGAGATGACCAAAAATGCCTGAAGCAAGTTTCAAGCCTCTCTGCTTCTCCTGTCTGGCACAGACTTACACTGGATGCATCCAACTGATGCCTCAGGTTTAGCTTTTCTATTTTTCAGATTCTGCGCTGCTTTAGTATGTGGGTCTGAGCTCCATATTATGGGATAGTGACAAAACAATTCCTGCTCCAGCTGGGCACCAAGGACAAATGATCCAAATCTCAGGCCCAAGAGCACAAACACCGTGGGGCTGGAGAGAGAAAAACAAGCAGGGTGGGACTACCTGGGCTAAAGCTGGAATGGGACAATGCAAAGATGTAAATGGAGCAGAACTGATCAAAGGGAGTAATCCTGGGAGCACTCGTGCATTTTGGGGCCATTTTGGTTCATCCTGGGTTCATTTGGGATATTTTGGTTCATCTTGGGTTCATTTTGGTTCACCTTGGGTGCAGGCCTGGCTGGGCTCTTGTGCTGCCCAGGGTGCATCCATTGAGGAGATCCTTTTAATAAATCCCTACTTTATTCTTTAACTCTGTCTGGTCTCTGTCCTAGGGCAGCCTTCACAAGGCACTAACCCCCTGACTCTGCATCTCCTCAGGAGAGCAATCAGGGAATCCTCAGGCTGGACTGGCAATCCTCCTGCCTCCTACAGGGGACACCAAGGTGTTCTAGTGACACCAAGAGTGACAGTCTCACTTGGCTGTGAGAGCCAAGCCTGGCAGGGGCTGAGGCTGCTGGGGCTGCCCCAGATGGGTTTGGATGCCCCAGAGGGTCCAGCCAGGCTCAGTGGTGCCCAGCACACACACCGTACCCACCCCTGTCATCCACGATGAGCTTGTCCATGCCGCGCGGGCCCAGCGTGGTGCGCACGGCCTCGGCGATCACCTGGCAGGCATTGATGTTGCTGACCAGCTGTGGGATGCCCTGCGAGGTGTCCGTGCCCTCCTTCAGCAGGATAACCGGTGTTGGCTGCAGGGGAGCACAGCAAAGCTGTTAGCCTAAGCCCAGGGACCCACAGAGGACTCCTGACAGCCCACAAGACAGGAGAGTGCAGGAACAAGGCCAAAAATACAGCCTCGGTGTAATTCCTCTGCCCCACACCACCCTGCTGCTTTCCACTGCTCCCACAGCACTGGGAACTCACAACTGCTCCACCACAGGCTCAGGGACACACAGGGACTGTCCCAAAAACAACGGGGGTTATTTGGGGCAGAACCACTGAGGCTGTGGCCTGGAGGAGACAGAGCGTGCAGAAACTACAGAGACACTGAGAAACCAAACAAATCTGGGTGGTGGAAGCAACAGAGCAGCTGTGGCTGCCCCTGCATCCCTGGCAGTGCCCAAGGCCAGATTGGACATTGGGGATGGAGCAGCCTGGACAGTGGGAGGTGTCCTTGCCATGGCAGGGGTGGCACTGGATGGGATTTAAGGTCCCTTCCAACCCAAACGATCCCATGAGTGCTGCACCCATCTCACAGGCAGAGCTCAGGCAAAGCCCAAACACTGCCCAAATTTGGGATGCACTGGCACAGAACAGCTGCCGGGAGGCACAGAGCAGAACTGAACTGTGCTTGGTGCACTGAAGGGCACAGGCACAAGAAAAGGAGCTACTGCAGAGGGTTCAGTGATGGGCAAAAAGAACATCCTTGGGCTCTGGAGCATCTGGGTGCAGTGATGGGCACAAAGAACATCCTTGGGATCTGCAGCATCCCTCCTAGGAGGAGCTGGGCCTGCTTAGGCTGCAGAAGGGAAGGCTGAGAGGGTTCCCATCAACCCATAGACATCTTTCCGAGGCAGTGCCAAGAGGTTGGTGCCAGACTCTTTTTGGTGATGCCCAATATCAGGACATAAATTAAAACACAGGAAGTTCCACCTCAACACGAGGAAGAACTTCTTGCCATGGGGACAGAGCCCTAGGACAGCTGCACAGGGAGGGCCTGGAGTGTCGCCCTCAGAGACATCCCAAACCCACCTAGAGACATTCCTGTGCCACCTGCTCCAGGTGACCCTGCCTGGGCAGGGGGTAGAGCTGAGTGATATCCAGCCCTGACTATCCTGCGATCCCTGAAACCCAGAAAGATTCTATGGAAGCAAACGCACAGCTTTCCTCCACACCCAGCAGAGCAGGAACCCCAAGGGAAAAGGACCCGTTTGTCCCCGGGGAAACCAGGCTGGACACACCTCCCGCATCACCGCGGGGCTGGAGCCGGAGGGGGCTGCGGGGGCAGGACCGGGC